CATAATAAAGTGTCAAATTTGGAGCTTTAAGTCCTCCACGTTCTCTAACATCTTGAATAATCTTAAATTTAACTCTCGCTTTCTTGCCCTCCCAGATGAAGCGATTCAAATCTCTCTGCCATTCTTTCAAGTTAAGTTCATTTTTTAAAATAGGTAACATCTGAAATAGAAAAAGAAACTTAGGTAAAATGTTCATTTTAATAGCCGCAATACGACCCAGCAAAGAAAACTGAAGTTTTTTCCACATTAATAAGTCTTTTTGTACTGATTTCCACAATTTTTCATAATTATTCTGGTAGAGTTTCATATTAGAGGAGGACAAGAAGATTCCCAGATACTTGACTTTGCTAACCACTTCAAAACCTGATATTTGCGTAAGTTGATGTTTATCTTTAGCCATCATATTCTTTGTGAGAATTTTAGTCTTGTTAACATTAATTCTGAATCCAGCCACCTTGCCGTATTGATGCAGCATTTGCAACAAAGATTCCAGTGACTCTGAATATGCAATATTTCATCATTCTTTTTACATCATTTTATTGCAAAACAATATGAGTTCTTCACCCATATATGGCTCACTAATAGGTTAATACAAAGTAGTTCCTACGATAAATTATTTAATTCAAAAACCTATAGTTCATTACAGATCTCTACATTACACCACTATTTGTTCTTCCTGCCTTCTTCATCTCCCTCTGAAGAAGTGATTCAGGTTCGGATTCCTGTAAATGACAGGCCTTTTCAGGCCCTTTTCAAGGTTAGCAAATCCTTATGTGCTCCATACACTCTTAAACTTGTGATTTGCTTCTTACACTGAACTACTATTCCAGAACAAACACAGTATATAGATAGTCTTCAAATTACAACAGTTCATTTAGTGACTGTTCAAAGTTATAACAGCACTAAAAGAAAGTGACTTATCACCATTTTTCACACTTAAAACCTTTGTAGCATCCCTATGATCATGTGATCAAAATTTAGATGGTTGGCAACTGGTTCATGCTTATGACTATTGCTGTTTCTCAAGGTCATGTGATCACCTTTTGCAATCTTGACAACAAAATCAGTGGGGAAGCCAGATTCATTTAACAACCATGTTACCAGCTTATCAACTGCAGTGATTCACTTATCAACTGTGACAAGGTCATAAAATGGGGCAAAATTCACTTAACAAATGTCTCACTTAACAACAGAAATTTTAGGCTCAATTGTGATCATAAGTTGAGAACTACCTGTAATGATAGCTTTTCTCTGCCCTCTCTGTAGCTGTAGAGTAGGCAGCTCTTCACTCTATGAACACCTCTTCATTCTGAGTCCAAAGTTCCCACCCCCTTCTAAAGCAAAGTACTGCAGCATATCACTTCTACTCTCCATCATAGATTTTTAACTGCCAGGCATGTGACTTTGCCTCAGTCCCAAAAGAGGGGCCTATTCCTCTTTAGTTGCTTCATTGATTCTTAATTTTATTTTTTTCACTGCAGGAAGCAGACTGGATAAAATTGGGAGAGGATGTTAAGACAGCTGCC